GAGGGGATGCTCCTAGGGATCTCTCGATAAATCCATCACTCTATGAATTTATGAGAAGCGCCAGCCGTATTGCAGGAATCTAATGGCTACAGGCATTCCGCCAGGATTGTGCCACTGTAATACAGCTGTGTCCTCTATAGGCAACTCGGTGTAGCTTAAAACTCATCGAACAAAGATGCGTAATTCAATGTCCCGGAGGAAAATAGAGGAGAAGTAGTAATTCCGAGGAAGAGCCGCTGTGAGCAACTTTGACCTTCACGAAGCCACAACAATGGCGACGAAGCTGACACCGTACTTAGGAGCTTTCGCGTAAATCTTTGATGGCATCGCGGGACAATAACTCTGAAAATCTTGGAGATCTCAAGGAAGAAGATGAGGACGAAGCGAACATGCTCTGAGATTTACCAGGACCAGTAACACGTGCTCTTGAGCACGCCTTAGCCCGCGGAAGAAGCCCACCGACTGACGACTTCCTGGCGGCACAGAAGTATCCCGTGAGCCAGAAGATCCAATATCAGCCAGGCTCCACTGATCAGCTTCAATATCTTAATGCAGAATAGATAGGTTTAAAGCGGTGCTAAAATTTGGACTTGGAAGTAACTTCTTCTTGCCGGTGTGAACGAAGCATAATTCTTTAGCGATGCTTCAGGCTTCTCCAGCTTCCCTCCTGTCGTGTCTCTTTCTAGTACTTTGATGCTCCGCGAACACGAGCATAATTTCACTAAGCGAAATTAATCTTATCCCGCTAGTCGACTCATTCTTATTTGAATGATAAACGATCAGAAATTTGTATAGCTGCGGATGTTTAACCCTTTGCACTTCAAGTATGTTCCAAAATTCATACTAACGTCACCTGCTATACATTTTGCACATCTTAGCATGCCCTGTATTGAGCAAAAAAGATGAATAACATCAAGTGAGTCGGGGAGACACGAAGAATGAGGAAGACCGGATGACGATTAGCTGCTCAGAATTCCTTTGAGAATGAGCAATGAAAGCTTCTTAAAATGAAATCATCAGAGAAACAGTTCTTAGTGTCGGCCGAAGGCTGCGCAGGACTTTTTTAGCTTCCTACAGCTTGACTGCCTATGCTTTGAAATTCTTGCTTAAAAGAGAGGTAGACTGTAGAAACTCCCTTTGGAAGAACAGACGAAGAGAGAGAATTCTTATTTTCTTCGAATCAGCTCAATTATAGCTTTCTAAATAATGAACTCTCTCTCGCTTTGACTGGACGAAAAAAAAATATAAGAAATGCGTAGCATGCCCCTGTAACCTCCACCAGACAGACAGAGATCCGTTCGCTCTCAATATTTTTTTATTTATTTTTTTTTTTTTCCATAAATTCAGTCTATTCAAGTTTTTTCAAAGAGACGACTCCCAATTCCCGAAATCTCGGAAAAGCCTAAAGATTTTTTCTTGCTTCGCTTTATAACTTACGATTAAAAGGCAAAGAGTCGCGACTCGTAGGCTTCTTTTGAAAATAAATGATTTTATCGTTCGTGTTACGCTCTATTATTTCATTCTATCAACTGGAAACCACTTTTCATTTTGACTATGAATAGTGTCAGTACCAATGTATAATACAAGTAACTCCGCGGGAAAGTCAAAGACAAAGTCAAATATTAAGTAGGTTTTTTTTAGGCAAAGAACGTTGCCAAGCGCCAGTTTGCGCCACATTGCGCCACATTGCGCCCACTAATTGCGAGCAGCTCGCGTCTTCGTAAGTCTATTGCTAAAATATAATGATGCGGGAGCATCTATTGTTTTTCTATAGTATATTATACGTATATGGGTTGGAACGAGAAGCGATTATGGAAGAATGATGGCCCCGTTAAGGTTGCCTGGGGTTGTGCTAACCCACTGTCCCCTTAAGCCCTTGAGAGGCTTTTGACCATCCTCAGCGTCCCCGGGAATCTGACGGAAACGAAAGTATGTTGTTTCGTAGCATTGAGCCCGCTGGGAGAATATTTCGACAGTCCGGGAGAAACGAGTCCGGTAACTTTCCGAATGTGACAGAACGCGTTTCCCCGCATCCTTAACCCCGTCGCAGCTCGCCAACCATCAAATATCGACGCTTCCTGTCGCATAGACATATGGGTAGCTGTAGCTCCGTCCTGTGAAAGACAGTGGGAAAGGACGGTTTGCCTTTCTGCTTCGACAGGATAGAAAGACACAAGCACACGCACACAGTCTGGCCTGCTTTCCCATTTCTGCCATGTGCGCCTGCAGTCCTGCTACCTGTATGTATACCTGTACTTCCGTATTTCGAACATCTTCCTTCTCTCGATGCTTAACACGACTGAACATCCGATGCGCCGCTTTACGTTCACCTTACTTATGATCCAGGACTAAGAAAGTCACGGATCTCAGTGTCATAGAACCAGTAGAGAGAACAAGATTCCCCACGCACTCGCCATTAGTTCCCTGCTGACTCTGGTAACACAACCAGTAACTCACCTTGTGAGGACGAGGCCAGCAAAACTAATTCTAATTATCCATAGAGAAGAACTCGTAATACGAGACTCGTCGTGTCATCGCTGACCACGGCATGACGCTCGATGACATCGATCGATCAGCCAGAGCCTCCTTTCTTCGTTCCTTCTCGTGCAAGTGGAAAGAAAACAGATAATGGTTGACTTTTAAATTTCCATGTATGTGAACAATCAACTGCATCGCTCATTAAAATTGATGCGTATGACGATTACGACAATGAGCTCTCAGTGATAGTCCGTAAATATTCGCAGCTAACGATTAACAGCTTAACGGTTGTCAATGATCCTTGCAGGAAGCAACTGCTGTAGTAATTTGTGTTTCAAACGAGTTTCATAGAAACTCGTTTTCGATACTAAGGTTTATTTTAAAGGTGGAGAACAAGGAGGAGGAGGAGGAAAAGAAGGTGGAGGTGGAGGTGGAGGTGGAGGTGGGAATGGAGTAAGGATTCGCGCCACCTGAGCTACTCTTTCAAACAAATTAATCTTTCGGCCTTCAAATTATTTTAATATTTTCCAGTACAACAGCGCATCACATTTAATTACTAGTCTAGGGAGGGTGAGCACTTGATTTAACATGACGGAAATCATTCAAAATTCATCAGAGAATTGAAGTAACCCTCCTGCTGCTGATTAATTAATAGTTTGACACGATGATTTTTATAAAAGAGTTATTGACATTTACCAAAATCAGTCGAAATGCAAAATGACAATACAGATGAAAGTTTGCGAGACCTAGTACTTTGTAGCTGTCGGTTCCCAACTCCGAGTTTCGACAGGGCGTTCGTACATGGGGAATAAAAATGTACAGTTGCGCGTACTAGAGCAATTGTTAGTACCTGGACAACACGAAACTTCTAGTGACAGTGACAGAAATTCTACTAATCGTAAGATTGACAAAGTCAACTAGTCAGACTTACAGTTACAATGGTACATTTTGAGAGGATTATCACCATTGTTACAAAAAATGTGTCCGTGTGCAAATACTAATCATTATTCTAATAATTTTGCTGCATGCAATTCATGTTTTGCGGCAGCCAGGTCAATGAAAATCACCTAGAATCACTTTAAAATCACGTGCTCCTCTCGGTAGAATTAATCAGGTAACACGTTCGACTTGATTTCGATATTTTGTAATTTTAGGTAGACAGAGTCACGTTAATTGGATCATTCGCAACCGATTTCATAGATCCATGAAACTAAAAATGAAAGAAAGCTCCGTTTTTCAATTGGTCTATCCGTATCACCAAATCGTCTACATAACAAACACAAGAAGACTCGTAAGCATCCTTACGTGAGCTGCTTTCCTCTCGCAAGATAATAGCGAACGAAAAGTCGCAGAGAAGTCAGGACGAGGAGGGTGAGGTGGAGAAAAACATAAAACAGTGCTGTGCCAACTTACCCCGAAATGCGACGCGCTTTATCTTTTTTTTGATATCAAAGTGTCTGCTTCCCTCGATGGCTCGATATCTCGATACGATGCTCGGGTGTCCCTATAGATCACTAGATGTATAACCGAAGACGCGATTTTCAGCTGCCACTGCCGCCGCCACTGACTGCAGTCACTGCACTCCTCACTATTCTACGCTGACTCTAAGGTTAGTGTAGGTGCGTCGGTCGATAACCCAGAGCGCTAGAAAAGGATGCCCTTCTAGAGGAAAATTGTAACAGCACCAGAGCAATTGGATAAGACAAACGAGGACACGGGGCAAACTCCGAGAGAACAGAAGACAGAGCTAGGAAGATGAAAGATGAAAGCGGGAACGACAGAGGACAGAAGGATATCAATAATGAACAGATTGATGGTTGGATAGCTAAATAGATGGATAGAGAGAGAGAGAGAGAGAGAGAGAGAGAGAGAGAGAGAGAGAGAGAGAGAGGGTGAAATAGATTGTACGGAGCTGTGGAAATGAAAAGGACTTCCGACAAATAATTCCGAATGAAGGACGGGGAGCTCACTGCGAGACCCGTGGAAATTGTCGAGGACACGCGAAACGTGAACGTACGCGCGTAAATGGTTCACGAAACGAGAAGTAGAGATTGAAGCATTAGGGTGGCTTCGGTCGAACTGAGTAAGCGTCGCGTCGCCGACGCGTCATCCGTCGAGAGCACCCACCTCCCAGCCTATTCCTAGGGGGCGACGCTGGCGGCGAAGGCGAAGGCCAAATCGCGCATGCCCGAAACCCTTAAAGCCGTCTCTCCGTTTCGAACTTCCCTCGCTGCACCGTAGCCGACGACCTGCGCGGCGACAAATTGATTGACTGACTGACGAGCGATTGGATTGTCAGAGATATTCAAGGCCGCTTTGAGACCGCGTCACAGTTTCGCCTAACTTAACTATCGATTCCGTGATCGCAACGAAATATAGTAGCCGCCTTCAATGTTGAAAGATTGATAAGCACGCAAGTAAGAATGTACAAGTGAACATTTACGTAAACTTCCAAATTGGTGGGCGGCAAACGACACTGTATTCTTAAACAAGCGAATCATCTGTAAAAATGTGTTAACTCAATTCGGTCTCCTATCAAGAGGAATCTCTTTGTTTGAGTTCGGATCGTATCGCCGATCGTAGGTTCAAGCAAAACTGTCGAGTGGGAAGGGCGGTCGAAAGTAAGATCAAGCACAAGGACTGACAATTGGTCACGGGTTTGCCCTTGATGCAGGATAGTCGATTCAAACTCAGCCAGAGAGAATCCAGGCGTCACGTGCTGTTACGAGAGACCAGAGTTCATGTAATTTATGAATTCAACAAAATTAGAATAACTGTACCTTTTACCGACCACATTAGGGTAGATCCGTATAACAGGACAGCTCGGCATAATAATGGCATTATCTCACTTTGCCTCAATGATTAATTAACGCATTTCCATTTTTCTTAAAATAATTAATTATCCGTCTTATCAGGAAGAAGCTTCAATGTTCTGAGACGTTAGCTCCGCAGAATCTCTTGATTCATTTTTCCATAGACCTCTTCTTTTCTTTTAAAGCGACGAACGAGCATAGTTGGATGTTATGAAAAGGAGCTTGATAACGGCAGCAGCTTCACTCGGAGGACCGAGAACGTGAGATTAAAAAGGACTTCGATAAAAAGCCGAGGTCTCGGCCAATTATTCTTGCCAAAGAAAGCTCCAATTTACTCTCGCACTTGAGCTCCCTTTGACCCGCTTCAAGCACGCCCCATAACTCCAACACAATCGGTTCGCGCCAGAGAGATACTCGTAGTATACTTAGTCGTTGAGCCTCTGTCTGAAAATTCATCTTCATTTGGCCAAAGCAAGAAACCAGATTTACCAGGAATACGTAGATGCGAGTATATTCGAAGACTTGGATGGCAATTGGCCAAGATGGCTGAGTTCTGAAAATATATGTGAAATGTTGTCATTGTTATCACTGGAGAGTGCTGCATAATTGCAATGACGAATCGACCGCACCGTAAGAGGATAGAGGAAGAATCGGTTGTCGAGGCGACAATGGTATTAAAATAAAACTTGGCTCCATTGACGGGGAATGGAGTGTCAGTCAGTTGATATTCCACTTGTAGACGTGCAGCGTGTGATTAGCATCGCTTGGGAGCGGGAGAGCGCGAGAGGGTTGGACTATTTTGCGTTTACGATTCCATGAGCCTCGATTGACATGGCTGCATATGATGTTTAATTAATTGACAATCTGATCAAATCAATGAAGAGAGTCGAATCGGGAGTGACGTGACAAGTTGCTCGAGAGTGCTCGGCTGCTGTCCAACAACTGTCATTCGACTCACATTTTGTCCTGCTTGAAATTGCTTCGTTCGATATGCGATGATCTAGCTGTCGAATAAGGACAAAGAAGGAAGATACGTGCGTGTAGATAACGAGTGGGGAGCGGA